GCAAATCAATGGGAGCTTTTTGCATATGCAAATAGGAGCCTTGAGCTGGGTGAATTTGGCTGGTTGTAACCTGTGTCTCTAAATTCCTCAACAGAAGCCTGAGGCAGGTTCAATGCACCTCCAAGGAAGTGAATAGCAGCTCCTGCTGATTTTATTACAGTTTTCTGCTTCTTATTCTTATTCACTAGGACAAAAAACCCTTGCCTTACATGAGTAATTCTGCTCCATTTCAGCACAACTGATTATATGAGTAATGTGATCACAAGTGGATCAAAGATGATGATTTAGAACGGAGTTCATGTGTTTAGTCATTTATCATCATCAGTCAGGCACAGGCACTGCAACACCTAAGTGATGTGTAATGTGAGTAATACCTGGTGCTGTAGCAGCAGGGCTTTTTTCCCAGTGAGTTACAAACTCACTGCAGACTAACACTAAATCACTCTCTAGGATGGTACTAGAGAAGCAGAATTAAATGAAGAATTATGTGTTTGTAAAAGTGATAATGGCATAAAAGTTAGAGTATGATAATATTCCTGAGCAATGCACATGCACTGCCCAGAGATGTCCTTTTGTAGCAAGGGAATCAGCGTGAGCCAGCATGATTGTCCTAACTTAAAGTAGCTAATTGCCTCCTTGCTCTTAGCCTCCCTTAGCAGCAAGACCCCAAAACCCAACCTCTTTCCCCGAGACTTCTGTCTCCCAGCTACAGGCAGTAGAGGGTCCCCAGGGTGTGCTGCCCTGCCTGGCAAGCATAATTCCACTGCTGTGCCCGCACATGAGTAAGAGCAGAGCTGCTGGAATGTTGCTGCTGTAGCTCCTGTTTGTGCCAGAGCTCCCAGCCAAAGGACATATTGCTTCTTTCTGTCTTAATTTACTTTGAGTAGAGCTGGTGACCCTGGTTATTAATTGCATGTCTCCCAGTCCCTGTTGCTTCCCAGCCAGTTGTTTAATGAGTGGAACACACCTGCTGGTGCCCAGGTGTCTTGGACAAGGCTCTGGAGATTCCAGATGCTTCCCAAAAGCGTGTTGCTCCAGGGCTGGAGCTGCACAGGACCTGTGCCCAGTATTTCCTGCCTGTTCCCACCTGGGAGGGAAGGACAGCCAGGAGAGGCAGATGTTTCCTTCACTACTAGACCAGGGTGCCCAAATCCTACCTGGAGCCACCCTGGCATTGCTGAGCACCACCTCACCTAGCACAGCTCATCATTAAGACCTGGTTCAGTAACACTCAGGCACAGTTTAGAGCAAAGTTTTAATTGTGCTGCTGCAGGTGGAATGTGCCCAGGTGTGCAAGAGGTGCACAAAGGGCTGTTTTGATCCTCAGCTTTGAAAAACTTTGTGGAGTAAGACTCAGCCCAGACTCAGGGAGCTGAGGATGTGCAGGAGGAATGGCCCAAACCACCCACTGGCGTCATGATCACCAATAAATAAGAGCCAATGGCTGCTGAGAGGGGCTGCTCTGAGCCCATGTGTGGTTTTATAGATGTCTACTAAAGTTTTGACACAGATACACTCACAGTTGTGGCATGGCAACAAAAACCCATTTTCCTGTAGGCAGCAAGCCACTTTGATCCTGCCCTCTCAGAATTGGGATGTGGTGCTGGAAACACATGTGCTGCAAAAGCTCTTCTTCTGTTCACCTGCCACGTAGATTTAATTTATGGTATCATGACTTTCAATGAATTATGGATACAGTGACTGTGCAGAGGAACACAAACAATAGAGTCATGTGCTGTGTGGCTCCACCTTGCTGGCTTTGTTTCATGAGTGCCTGGGGTTCGCTCTGACAGTTTTATTGTGGGGAAAAAATAGTTTTCTCTTAGAGATGTTCCAGCCTGGTGACAGCAAGGGATGGGCTGTGGTGGGAGCATAAATGCTGGCCAGAGCACCCAGTCCCCTGAAGATGACTGCATAGTCTGGAAACAGGGCTGCTATTCAATGAGCCAAGGAAACTCAAGAGAATTTTTCTCAGTATACAAGAGAAAATTACAGTTTCCAGTTCTTTCAGTTTTGGCATTTTCCCATTGACAACCACAGCTTAGCTGTGTCTAATTTCTTGTAAATGAAAAATGTCTTAGGACTCTCTGTGGATCTGAGTCTGCTCCCATTTACACGTGGGTGGTTTAATGAGTCCAGCAGACTCACCCTGGACTGAGGTGAGGCTCTGGCCAGGTTTTCATACCCATAGGAAGTAGCTGAAAAATGTCTGCTGTATTCCTGGGCTCAGGATACTTTACATACCTAGATCTGTCTCTCACAGACTGACAAGCCCAGACTCAACATGGCTTTATATATTACAGAGGAAACAAATCTGGGAGTGATTTTGGGGTTTAATTTTTTTTTATTAATGTGAGAGTCACAAATGCTGCCTCCCTACTAATGTTGTTTTTGTGTGCTATACAGATCCCACTGCTACACATGGCTGAAGAAGTATTTGTTTCATTTTTACCTTCTTGTTTTTAAAATGTCTTAACAATGCAAACAACAATATGTTGCTTAAACATTATGATGATTTTAATAGCTCAGGTGCTCTGAAAGCAAAGTTTTGATTATTTGGGGACTAAGAAATCAGTTGCAGACTGCTCTGTTATCCTCTTTTTTTTTGCTTGTCTTCATGAAGAGCCCATTTACGTTTGTGTAAGTTCTTGCCATCCTATTTGCTTGAGTGTTGCAGGGCTTCAGAGAAAAAGCATTATTTTAGCCATTAGGAGGTTGTTCTGTTCTTATTGAATTTTCTAGAAAATCTCCTGTTGTCCTTAAGGGAACATGGAAGGATTTTTATAATATGTGTGTGATTTCAGAACTGAGGAAACAGACTGTCTTCAGAAGGAAGTAGTGTCAAATCAGCCTACAAATATATCCTTTAAAATGATTTGGCTGGAATCCTTCCTGGTATGATCCCATCTGAGACTCTGAAGTTACACAAAGAATAAATTTTCATCATTTTTGTATAATAAAAAAAAAAATTAGAGAAGGATAAGATATGCCTCAACTTGAGAGTCATGAATACTCCTGAGGAGAATGTTTTATGTCTTAAAATGCAACATGCATTTTTATGTATTTACTGCAACATGCACAAAGGAAGATATTCTTTGGGAGGAGAGTTAATTAATGAAGCCAGTCGGAAAATTAGAGGATTCAAAATAGAATTTGGTCGCTTATTTGTTCTGCTTTTGGCATACGGTTAAAAATCCCACCCACTGGGGGGGTAGTACCTATCTGGAGGGATGTCTGGGGCACCTGGAAATAAAGTTGTAGCATTTGTAACATGTCTGTGCCTTATTTGGGGAATGAAGGAGCAAAGGTACCATAAGGTCTTCCAAGTTAATTCTGTCTGAGTCTCAGGCCATTAGTTTCCAGGCAGTTATTGCTGCAGGGAGCCCAGTGCCTCGCTTTGGCTGAGTTTGGGAGGACATCAAACCTTGACATAAACAGATGGAGAATCCAGCACGTTTCCTGATGGCTCCTTCATCAGGTCACCAGCACTCCTCTGTTCAAAAATGTGATCCCTCCCTTAAACTGGAACGTTTTGGCTTTAGCATCTCGGCACAAGTTCGTGTTGTGCCTCTTTTTGGCAGACAGAGGAATAACTCAATGCCTGCTAATTTCTTTCTGTGGAGGCTCTTAGATTCAAGGATTCACATCACTTTCCTCCCTGCTTTTTAATGAAGTGAATTCTCAGGTGATGTAATTCCTCCTCTGTAAGGGCCTTTCTCCACTCCTTGACAGGCTTTGGCTTTCCTTTAATTTTTTTTCCTTACTTCCAATTTTGTTGTCAATTTTGTTGATGTCTGCTGTACTCTAGCTGTCTGTTTTCAAGGGCTGAGGTAAAATTTCCTACATCTCCACTTACTGAAGAGCAACTAAACAAGTCCTTTTTTTCCCTTCTTGTTCCATGACTTGTCTTATCACAGCTATTGCATCTGTGCTGTCTTCTCAGATATGTACTGCACATTTGAGTTCATGTCAGTAGGACCCAAGATTCTTTGTTGACACTATTTACTACTCATCAGTAACTGTTTTGTTGGAAAATTTTACCCCTTTCAACAGATGAAAATGGGAAATCAGACCTTGGACCTCTGCAAGACTCCCTAATTCTCATTGCAACAGAGATTCCTCATGGAGCAGTATATTTTAAGAATAGATGCTGAGTTAAATCTATGTAACTTTTCTCTCTAATGTTGTTTTTGGCTTGTTGGAGGGTTTTTGTTTATTTACAATATGTTTTTCAACTCTGTTAAGTCACATGCCTTGGCAATGTGTACCAATAAAACAAACACACGTAAATATCTTTAGCAATCAGGCTTTCGGTCTCATGACAATTTTTGGGCAGTCAAACAAATGCCTTGGCACGCTAAAATCAGGGACACTGGGAGAATTAATCACTTAATACGCTAGATTAAATCAGACATGGCTCTTTTGAGACAAAAATCTTCTCTGGGGTCGGCCAGACACGGCTTCTCCAGAGCCGGCGCTGCGTTGGAGCACTCACAGGAGGGCACTGATCAGATCCGTATAAACTATCATTTCACAGGCCACAAAAGCCGGGCTGCAGGGCTGTTGTGGAGCCGAGTCGAGGCTTTCCAGCGGTGCTGCTGGAGCGCACCTGGCCGGGCCCGAGGCTGGTGCCAGGCAGCTCCAAAATACCCGTGCGGAATCAACAAACAGCACCGAGCCGGGTGACGTAAAGAGGAAGCCAACTCCATTACCGGCCTGCAAGTCGCAGGGAGTTTTGCAGGCGCCGGGGGGAGGATGGAGCCGCAAGCGGGGCCCGTCCGCGGGGTCGCGGCGGGGCCGGGGCTGCCCCGTCGGGGCTTCAGCACCGCGGACAGCGCCCGGCGGAGCCGCGGCCGCGCCGGAGCGACCCCCGAGCGCGGCACCGGCCCCGCGGGTCCCACCGCCCGCTCCGCTGTCTCCCCTCTGCTCGCACTCTGCTCCCCTCATCGCCCCCCTCCCGCAGCATCCCGACCTTCCCCCGGCGTTTTCCGTGCGGTCACCTGTAGCAAGAGCTGGCGCTTGGCTCAGCCCACCCGGTGTCCCCGCCGTCGTTCGGTTTATCCCCGCTTCCAATCAATCCCGCAGCTCCGGCGCCGCCGCCGCCTGCCCTGCCCGGGGGATGCTGAGGCGGGCCGGGGTCCCGCGGGGCCCGGAGGAGCCGAGCGGGCACAAAACCGGCTCCGTCTGCGTGGCGGGGCTCGGGGCCGCGGCCGCTCCGGGCAAACCTTCCCCGGGCTCGTGGCGCCCCGAGGGGCTCGGAGCCGCCCCCCGCAGCCCGTCCCTCCCTCCCCGCGGAGCGGCACTCACCGCGGGCGCGGAGGGCGGTGCCGCGGGGGCTGCGCTGTGCGGCCGCGGGCCGGGGGGGATGCGCCGGTACCGCCGACCCCGGTCCGGCCGCGCACGCAGGGCGGAGGGAGGGGGAGACGGGGATGGAGGGAGGAGGGATGGAGGGAGGGAGGGAGGGAGGAAGGGAGGAGGGCGCTGCAGCTCCTCAATTATTCAGCGCTTCCCCTCCCCGCCTGCCGCATGTGACCGCCGGCAGTACCCGGCAATACCGCGCCGGCCCCGGGAGAGCTCCCTGCCACCCCCATGTCACCTCCCCTCCCTGCCTGTTCTCCCTGCCTGTCCGAGTGTCCTGAGGGATGCGGGTGGCCTCCCCCAAACTGTCTGGCTGCTGAAAAATAACTCTCCTGGCTGCCTCCTCCAGCGCAGGGCTTTCCTCACCCCTCGGACACGGCGTGGGGAATCTCGTTTTTGTTTTCTCCTTGAGCCGCACTGTGAGATTTGGGTGTTAATGCTGTAATCCCGGAACAGGCAGAATTAGGACTAAAATAATGCCTCATGCATTGCAGCATGCTGTGCTGTCCAGCCCTCTGCACAGCTCAGCTTGGAGGAATTAGGTATCAGGTGCAGGATATATTTAGTATTTTATACCCGTAGCTACTTTAGACAATGGCTGAAATTCATGATCAAAATTATTCCTTTTTGCAGTTTTGTTTCTCGGTTTCTGCTGTTTAGTTTGCTCTAGAAATACTCCCTGTCTGCATCTGTATTGTACCATTTTGACATCAAATCCAAACTGGGTTCATCTCCAATGATGCCTGGGGAGGATCTCGTTTCAGTCTCTGTTACAGTTTCATTCTATAGCTTCTAACAGGACCTATTCCCAATGAGAGCTGTGTCTCCAGTGGAGAGAGACCTTTCATCCTTCAAATACTGAAATAAATCTCTTCTGATAAAAGTTAAAGGTGAGATCCTTCAGTGTAACCAGTTCAATTCAGGAGTCAATGTTTTCCTAACGTGAGTGACCCTGACAGGAGCTGCATCGATGGCAGTGACCTTCTGGGGACATACAGACAGTGACATTGCACAGATAAACACAGACAAGGTGGGGGTTGGACTAGGTGACCTTTACCCTTCCAACCCAAATTATTCTATGATTCTGTATCCATGATCTTGTTTTTGGCCAGGAGAGCAGACCACATGTCATCTCCAATTTCCTTTCCAGCCTTGACTTCTGTGGCAGTTTTTGTGTCTTTCCAGATGAGTGCCATCATCTTCTTGATTTATTAGCAGACTCCTCCTCTCTCCAGCACAGCTTTACCTTGCTCTCTTCCCTCCCTCACAGAAGTCTCCTTGCAGTCCCTCTTTCCCAAACAGGCACAGGAAAGCCCTCTCCCAGGTCACTGCTGGCCAGCAGAATGTGTCATCACAGCATGACAGGATGCTCTGTTCCCTTCCTGCCACTCTGGCCAGCACACATCACATCACACAGCACAAATTGCAGTCAGCTGATTACCTTCCTCACAACCAGCAGTTTTGAAACCCCATTTCAATCCTTTTCCTTATTCTTTGATTGCCTGAAAGCAACACTCAGAGCTGCAGCTCTCCTGTCCTTATCTATGGCCCCCATGCTTCCCATCTGGTTGTGTTTTCTCTTCACATCCACTGGCTTCCCCCAGCTGCTTCACTCAGTCCCTGGACACTGGATGGAGCTGTGGATGGCTGATAACAGGAGCTTCCCTTGGACTACATCTGTGCAAAAGAGAAAACCTTCTCCATTCATCATTCCCTCTTGTTTTGCATCACTTTTAAGACTGTGGTGAACTCCAGCTGACAGCACCACCAGCCTTCTGTGCTCACACCCAACTCCTTGGTGCTTGTGGAGTGTGTGAGTAAAGGGCACGGGCTGGTGTGTTTCTGAAAGGATTGGCAGTGTGGCCAAGTTTTAGGGGGATTTATTTAAGTGTGTGGCTTCAGAATATTTTAATTCATATTTATAACTGGGGCTGCTGTACCAGAACACGGGCAGTTTGGTTGGTAGCAGCAGAGAGGCTTTTTTGTCCTCTTAACAATCATTGTGCAGTACCTTGATACCACCCCCATCTTCCACCTTCCCTCTACTGCTCAGAGGTCTTTCTTCAGAGGATTTTGCTGTTCAGTATCTTTACAGACCCTGTTTTATCCCAGCCTTAATCTCCTTTTTGTAAGATTTCTTCTGTTTTACCCAGTGGCACCTGCTGTTAGCTATACACAACAACCTGCTGCCACCTTGAGTAATAAATGTCACAAACGTTTTGTCAGAGGATCACTTAAGCTCTTTCTCATTAATCTTTACCCCGTTCTCATGAGTTTTGTAACTTCGAATCGTGCAGGAATTGAATATTAAATTTTTACAGCTACCCCTCCAGTGCTTCTCTTCAGGTTGATTAAATGTAGATGAAGAACTCAAAGAGGACAAGTTACCCTCTCAACAAGTCCCATCAGTGAGGTCACCCTCAGATTAAGGTGAAATTTTCCATAGCAGCCAAGCACACGATGGTACATTTGCAGCAGAATTTCTTCTGTCTCCAGGCACTGTCCAATTTCTAGACCTAACTGATTTCTGCCCACTTTTCTGTAGTAAGTGGCCATCTGATTGGTCATTTAAATACTTAACCCTGTTTTGAATTTGACCAAGGTTTTGGCCTTAATAACACCTTGTAGCAGGGATCTCCACCAGCTGCTGTCTCATTATCTTGGCTATTTTTCCTTTCACCATCAAATTTGGCCATTCCAATTTCATGGGACAAAATTTCCTTTTTTTGTGACTCTAAATACACAGGGAGAAGAAGTCAGCAAAATCTGCCCTATTAACTTTCTTTCTTACTGTTATTAAAATGTTTGTTTACCTCTCATAATCCCCTCATACTTGTCTCATCCGTGACTAATTAATCATGCTATTTAAATACCACAGTTCCTGCTTTTCTGGGTTATCTCTTTATCTGCACAGCTTCATATTAAAACAGTCAATATCCCTTGACCCCTAGATTCTTCTAGGTCTTCCAGCATCCTCACCTTATGGGCCTTCTCTCCCCACATGAAAACTCCTCAGAGAGGAAAGTCCCACCTCCAATTCCATTGGTTTGATGAGTTTTCTTCAGTGCTGTTTCTCAAAATGTTTTGACATCATCAAAACTGACTAATGGAATGTTCCAGAGACACTGTCTGTGATCTCTGTCCATGGAAAGGAGTTTTCAATCTTACAGGATGAATTACAAGCTCTGAGTGTTTGATATAAGTAATAATTAAGTGTGGCACGGGTGCAAAAGTAAAATTTTAGGATTCTAGATTAGGGGTCCAAAGGGGACAAGATGGAGGAAATTGGGTGTGTCTTGTCCTTTTTCTCCTTCTTCATGCCCTCCATGTTTCACTGTGGTGTTGGCATTTTTCTGTTGGTTTAGGCTGGGGACACGCTGTTCAACGTAGGTGACAGATATTGGCACGTTATTGTAAATCCAGCACAGGTAGTTTGTGGTATTTAATGTTTGTACCATCCCACTGAGGGCAGAGCCCCACACGCTGCCCTGCAGGACAGAGCTGCGGCAGGGCAGCAGAACATGTTAGAGATAAACAGAATAAACAACCTTGAAACCAGCACAGACGAATTATGGCTTCTTATTTAGCAATGGGGCAGAAAGACAGAGAGTTTTTACAATCTGGGAATCATCAATACCAGAGATTCCGACAGTTCTCTCTCTGATTTGGTCTGTAGCATCCCAAGCTATCTCCCAGAACAGCAGTAACTCCCAGATATCCACTGCAAAGTTCAGCTGACAGTGTCTCTGAGCAGAGACCCAGTGGAGCCCTGCAGAAGTACTGGTATTTTTAGAAACATTGCCAGGATGCTTGGCCTCACTTTTTCCTCTTTTTGCATTAGTTGGAACTAACTACAGTGAGTACCTGTAGGGGTCAGAGTGATTGGAGGCATCCATGTAGGAGGATAAGAAGAAGGATTAATCTTGCTGTCTCCTCTGATGACTTGTGCCATGATGAATACCAGCATGAGGAAGGGCAGTCCCATTATTAAAGCCCTGACTTGAGACTTACAAAACCTCACTGGAGTTTCTGGCTCTGCAGTAGGAGTCCTGGGAGAGTTTCAGAGTTCTCTGTACCCCAGCCATATGAAATTACCTTGGAAGTGCTGCCCAGCCTCAGGGAGTGAGTTGGCTGCACAGGCTGTAATTTCTCTTGGTGAGAGATTATCTGTTTTCTTTATGGGACCTCAGTGGGGCAGTTCAACTGGGGGAATTCACTTGCAGTTAGCTGGGCAGGTGAAAGAAAGCACCTGGAGTGGTGAGCTGGGCCTGCCTCCTCCCTGACCCTCTCTTACCCTGATGCACAGGGATGCAGCCCTGACCCTGCTGGGCAGGGGATGAGCCCAGCACTCACAGGGCACCCTCTTCATTATTTAAATGACTTGTCTGCAGTGGAGCTGGCCATGGGTTTAATTTATGCTTAAGGCAATGGAAAGGATTATTCTGGAGTTATTCTGCATTGCTAAGAGGCATTTTGGACAGGGTGAAAGGAAACATCCACATGGATGTTTCTCATAAACCCATATCAGGTGCTTCCCTCTGCACCAGTGGTGCGTGGGCATAAACAGAAATGGGTGAAATCCCAGCACAGCAAACCCGGGGAGTGCTTTTTTTTTTTTTTTTTTTTTTTTTTTTCTTTTTTTTTTTTTTTTTTATGTTATCCAGCTAAAATTTCCCCTAGCTCCTTTCTTTCTTTCTTTCTCTGTGTCATCCATGCCAGGCTGAGCAGAGAAGATGGGTAATGCATCCATCAGACACATTCACTGTTCAGAGACACACAGGGTGGTGGAGCATTAAATAAATCCCTTTCAAATCCCCGTTCAAACACACAGTCCAAGCCTAGCTCCAGCATGAGCTGTGGCCTCTCCCCTGGCTGGAGGCTGTCACTGGAGCATGCAGAAGTGATGCCCTTTGGTTGTGCC